ATTTAAATCCACCCTCTTAATAGTTTTTTTTTTTTTGAAACTTCACCCTTTTAATTATCACAGATAATTATTTATTTTTCTTAATTAGAAGAATCAGCAGAAACCCAGACTAATCCCCAAGGCTCATGGAATATGGACTTTTGCATTGAATGCTTCTACGATGGCTTGATTGAAATTGCAGTGAAAAATCTCAAACTTTGCAAAAACAAAATAAATAATCTCATAATAAATCCTTCGACCACTAAAACCACCACCATTTAATTACAAATAAACATGTATTTATCGTTTAAACTTGGTCTATGTGACTATGTCTATATATCGTTGGCAGCAATAAGTTAATGTTTATTATATTCAAAATTTAGTTGCAAGTTGATTGATTCATTGGAGAAAAGAAAAAGACAGGGCGAAGAAAAATTCGTTTCCTAAAAGATGATTGATAAAATGAATTTTTTTTTTTTTTTTGCTAATTTCCCTAAACAATATAAATAGCAAGAGAATCACGATGCACGTCAGAAATCAAATTTTTAGAATTATTCATCAAAAAACTAAGGCGTATTTAAACTTTAAATTACTCACTAAAAGAAACTGTGAAAAGTTTAAACCTCGGTTCTAAGTGGTTCATACGGTTACTATGATAATCAGTGAACGTTTACTTCACCGGCATTCAAAATGCTGTATCGTAATAAAAACTATGTTGCATTTAGATCTGATTGTAACACGCTTGTTTAATAAAGAAAAACTTTGTTACAAAATAAAAGGAATCGTAATAAAATCGTTTTTTCCATAATAGTTGGTGCGGTGCATGAAGACCAAATATCATAAGAATTACTAAATCATAATTGTTGGATACATGATTTTGATGGCGCTTAATTAGTTAAAACAATTAAAAATAAATATAAATCTCTTTATTTTATTTCTATTATTATGATAGAAGAGTCGTCCATTCAAAAGTCATAGAAGCTATCAATTGTGTGGGGAATTGGAAAAACAAAAGAAATTGCATTTAGAAAGGTTGAACCAATAAAAGGCTTTACTAATTCAGCTTGGATCTTTTACAAATTAAAGACCGGCCGAACTAATGACAATGTCTTCTATAACTTTTTTAATAGATGACGTATTTAAGCCAAAGCATGACTGAAAATTCTACAATTATTTGTAAAAATATTTTCGGTAAAATAAAACATAAAGAAAAATATTGTGGTGATGATGTGTATTGGAGAGTGAGATCCATGGATCGAGAATAGCACGGAAGCTCATATACATATCGGTCAGAGAATTAGTGAGTCAAACTCATACGAGTGTGTAGCAATCGTTAAATATTATTGTAATGTGAACACATCTAATTGGTGAAGTTGCTTGTGCATATGTAAGGCTAAATTAAAATAAATGATTTGGGAAAGGTAGATCATCAAAGGGGGCTTAGAGATCACCAATCAAATCAACCTCTAATTGGTGTGGGCGTTCGGTTTTCGGTTTTTAAGAACATCATTAATAGTAATCCCATTAAAAAGTCTTAAGTAAAATTTTAAGATTAAAAACACTTTTGGCACCCCAAGACCTATTTTATTAAACTCATTCTATAAAACTTTTTTATAGAGAATTCATTAAATTAAATAATTTTTTAATCACTTTTACTTCAAGACACTCTTAAAAGGGGTTATCATTAATGATACTCTAAGAAATAGACCCTATCTAGTTTTAAATTTTAATTCGGTTTGATTTGGTTTGGATTTTCCGGTTTTCAGGGTTGTAAAGAGTATATGTATCCGGTTTTCACAGTCACAGTTACGGAAACGGTTCAGAAAGCATTCATGGATGCTAGAGAATGGAGTATGGCTCAACCGAATCCCAACTCAACCAAATCGACACAAACGTCGAACACTAAGAATCCTAGGTCCTATAAAGATGGATTCACCTTTTGTTTCACTGATGCGGCCTGGAGGGCTGAATCGGAAGTGGCAGGTTTCGGCTGGACTCTCAAAATCGCCGGAACCCCTAAATTGAAACATTACTCCTCAGAACACAACGTTGCATCGCCTCTCGTGGCTGAAGCGTTGGCACTTCGATCGGCTATGATACAGGCTCTGGAGATGCAACAGATGCAAGTAATCTTCAACACAGACTCACAAATAATGATACGAGCGATCAATTTGGAGCTCCCAATATCGGAAGTTCATGGAATCATATCGGACATTCGGCTAATGGCTGAACGCTTTTCCTCTGTAATTTTTAGACATATCTCTCGAGATGAGAATCATGAGGCCGACATATTGGCTAAAATAGGCCTCGACATTGTAATGGGTTAGCCCTTTATTAATCAAATGCAATTGAACAAAAAAAAAAGAATATATGTATATTAATCAAAAACACCCTCCACGTCAGCGGTAACGGACGTAATTCTTCCTCTTGTTTAGTCGCACGACTCGCACTAGTTAGGGTTTTGAAGTGAATATTAAGGCTACGAGTGGATTTGGCCATTCTTCTTCCTGCTTTTGTTTTTCTTTTCTTTTGTGGCAAATTCTCATATATGGCTCGTGCTAGAAATTCAATTTCTTTGTTTCTCTCTTCATCGTCGTCTATCTCTATGTCTTGTCGGAAAGGGATGCTTTACTCGTGAGTTTCCGTCTTCTTTATCGTCTAATTAAGAGAGTTGTTTTGTAGCTTCCTTTGAATAGGTTTTAGAAGAAGATTATAATCTTCAGGAAAATTGAATATTTAGTGGATTTAAAAAGGAGTTAGATTGACATTTTTGGTGAAAATTGTTTGATAATGAGTCGAATTTTCTGTGGAAATAATCAGATTTTATAGGATCTGAAATGTTCGAGGGTTTTTTTCCCTGATAATGATGTTTTTAGGGTTCGTAAGTTAGGCATTAGAGATTAAATTCTTTAGCACGCTGAGTTTTAACTGAAAATGGCGTGAATGTTGTAAGATTTTATAGAACTTTTTTATGCAATCTTTAGTGTAATTTTGGCCTCACTTTCTGTTAATTATCAGATTTATAGGACCTTTAATATCATAGCTTTCACTTGACTTTGAATTGCATAGCTTAGTATAATTTGATGCCTTATATGAGTCTTAAAAAAATCCAAAAATTCAATGTTTCGTTGATTCAAAACTCT